GTTTTGGTGGGTCCCACTTTCACCATCGACGTTTCCTCTCTCTCCTCCTCCTCCTCCTCACCTCCCCCGCCATCGTACCCAAGAGACCACCGCCCCGTTCCCGACTCCGATGACCATACTGTTCCTTCTTGCCTGTTGGGGCGTCCCGCTCCTTGGACGCGGACCCACTCTCCGAGAGCTCGTCATCCATCGGAACCCCTCCTCCGACGACGAGCGACACACGATCCATGTTGTGTCAACAAGGACGGCGATGCGCCACGAAGAAGAGAGGATGGGAGACGAGAGTGTGCAGAGCAAGTTCCATGGGCTGGCATCTCTGGATGCGTTAGAAGACTCGCTTCCTGTCAAGTTAGTATCTCTCACTCATTTTCGTCGCCGATTTGATTCCTCTCAGATGGAATCTGATGTGCCTCCTCTTAGATTCTGATGCCCTGGTTAAAAATTTTACTGGATCCTGTCAATTTCTGGTTTTTAATCTTCAGATCCGTCGTGTTAAGAATTAATTATTAGTTCTGATTCTGATTTGGGATGGTTTCAGGAGGGGATTATCCGGCCATTTCGATGGTAAATCGAAGTCATTCTCGGATTTATCTCAATCACCACCGTCAAAGACTTGAAGAAGCAGGAGAATCCCTTCAACAAGAGAAGGCGGCTTCTGATTGCGTCCAAGCTGTCCAGAAAATCAGCTTTCTACAGCTGGTCCAACCCAAAATCCATGCCCCTCCTGCCCGTGGACGAAGACGAAGACGACGATGGTTACGAAGAGGAAAAGGTCGGACAAGTCCCATCCCCATCGTCCTCATCACCACCGAGAACAAACAGGAAAACCCGGTTCAGCTTCGACAGAGCAGAGTCCCTGAATCTTATGCCGCTAGGATGAGGCTCAGACTGGGAAGCATGAAGGCCAGGAGTTTTCTCTGGCAGATCTGCAGGAACACGACGAAGAAGAAGAAGAAGATGATGACGAGGATAATGAGGGCTATGATCAATTTTAACATTTCACCCTAAAATTTTTCTTTGGTATTCTTTTGTTGTTGCTGGTGGCGATGATCATGTTGTTACTAAATAAAACTTACAGGATAAAAGCGTGAAATATATATTAAAAATCTTATCTTGCTCTCTGGGTTTGAAAGTTTTGATTTATCTGAAAGTATATTCTGTTCTGTGCATATCCTGTGAGGTGGGGCTATCAACGTATATAAAGAAGGACTGGTTATGGCGACAAGGGCAGTTGCCCAAATTTTTATTCGTGTGTCGAGGTGGATGGATATGGATATTCAAAAGAAAGAACAAAGCAAACACAGATCTGAGGTGTTTGATGGATTACAGGGCCAATGGGATTTGAGGGGTTAGGTTTGTGTGTGTGGTCATGGAGATCTAGAAAGAAGGAAGCATCGTCAGTATTCAAAAACGTATCTGGGGACAAATCTTATCTTATCTTTAGGACCCTTGATATTTGTGAAAGGGCATGACTTCGTACTCATTTTGTGTCTTTTTTTTAAAATAATTTTTTTTAAAAGAATCATTTCAACCTGCAACTAGTGACCCTCTTGCCTCTACGCTCGGGAATCCAATCCAATTTGAGGACTTCAGTCCTGTTTTCTTTGCCTTTTAATGCAGAAAATATAAAATCCGCTTCAGATTTTTCTTCGGCTACTTCACCATGTCATCCCCGTTACTGGATAACGTATGACATGGATGAACCATTCAACCCGTGACTTTTAGAGGTTGAGCTTTCTTTTTTCCATCCCTTAAAAAAAAAGAGCTAAGCGGTATGTGCTTTTGTTATGATACATGCAAAATTCAGGGTAATGATTATGGAAGTGGGCCTCACCATCAAGTTGGATAACTTACTATATCTCACGCTTATGTTTGATTCCATTCTGTTCATATCTGGACGGATATGAGCTTATTTTACTCTGATCAACCTTCCGGTCAACCTAAAAGTCGTTACATGTTCAGAAAAAAAGGGCCTGAGACTTCTCTTTTTTGGGGGGGGGGGGAGATTGTATGCAATGTGAAGTAACTTGGGATTTGATTTATATTACCAGCTTCATGAGTTTGACCTAGTCAAAACTAGTATTGTAGTGGTGATTTTATTATTACTGGTGGTTGTTATTGGCGCTTGCAGTCCATTATTTAAAGGCAAAATCAATGGCAGCAATCTGAGATCAGATAAGAGCGTTGCTTGCATTGTGGATGCTCATGGATGTAAGGCCGTGTTTGGTGGCGGGTAGGAATCAGGGGGGAAGGAGAAGCAATGAGATGCTTCATAAATTCTGTTTGGTAGCTGAGTGTTGGGAAACACAAAAACACAAGTTTTCCCTGTGCTTGTGCTCACTTTATGGCAAAATCCTGGACCTTAGTGCACAGCTTTCGCCATGTGCTACATTTGCCCCCCAAAAAAACAAGGAAACTCGTCTGAGTACTAATATTCGCTGGGATCTATTACTTTTATTTAACTGAATATATATAAAACAAAATGATAATTTTTCATATTTTTTATGTGGTGTGTAAATCGTAATATAGACCAAGACACGGACCCTTAACCAGATCAATATTTAAACTGTTTTTTTTTTTGGGGGTCTTTAAAGAGAACTGGTTGGAAGAGTCATTTGCGTCTTTGAAAGAGTTGTTGGGGGGTCTAGAAGATGTGAAAATTTCAAGGGATCTTATCCAAACGGAGAACGTGGGGAAGTTGGGAGTGAACAAGACGCAGAATTTTTAAGTTGGTCGTCATATATGTATTGAATTGACGCCTAAGACCAACGTTTAAACTTCAAAGCCACAAATCTCAGCTACCATTGTGCCAGCAGCCTTCGACTCGTCTTCCCAACAGGCGACTTCATTTCACAATTACGTAATTACCCCCCTTTTCATATAACCCACTCTTGGAAATTTCAACATACTACTACCGGGTCCTAATTATAAGAGCCAATTGACTAATTTGAGGAGATTAAAAAAGTAAGTTGAGTTAGTTATTTTGTCCTAAATAGGTGTTGTCTTTCCTAAGATATCCTTACTAATCAAATGTATTGACTAGAACTATCATTGTTAGAAGGGTTACTTTGAAAAAAAATATATAAATATGAGAGATAAAGTGGATTGGGGTTTTATATTTAGGATCAAAATAAAATTCAAATAGGGTCTTATATATTAAAGACCGGAAAGTAGTATGTATTTTCACAATTATGGATTATCCCCGTTTGTATGACGTGCATTGTGGAAAAATACATCTAGAATTCCTATGTATCCTGAGGCTCAAATTCGTTGAGTAATTCGTGATTTTTTTTTCAATTTTTTTATTCGTATGCACCCTAAGAGTCAAATTCGTCTTGAATTTTTCAGAGTTTATAGATTGTTATACTCAACTCTAGGTCACGTTTGGTATGCAATACTGATTTTTGATGGAACGGGAATGGTATAATAGAATTGAAAACGAGGTTTTCTATTTTATGTTCAATACGAGGCAATATGCGTAAGGAATTGATGCATTTGTTTTATTTAATAGTATGACATATTATCTCTGACTCTAAATATAAAAACTAATTTTTCGTGTAATTCATATTATAAACTAACTTTTATATTTGGAAGAAATCAGAAAGACATAGTATGGAGAACCTGATGAAAAGTAGATAGAAATCATATAAGATTAACAACTATATTAACCCTCTTGTTGAGAGCTGGGATTCCAACCTGATGCCACGTGGGATATGAGATCGTAGGATCATGTATTTTTTGTTTGAAAAAAAACATTAAATTAAGCCTCATTTTTACAAAAAATCAATTAAAAATTTTAAAAATCAGAAATGGCGTTGTAACGAGATTGTCTCATTACCATTTGCCAGTTTTTCCCCCCAGTAGTTTCCATAAACAACGGATTACTGTTAATTTATAAATATTTATTACTTTTTTTTACCAGATAAATATTTTTTACTTTGAAACATCCAGTGATCATTATACTTTATCTGAAATAAGGATAAGAAGCACTTGACTAAAACTTTAAAAGATTTTTTTTTTTTTGGACTCAAGTAATAGTTTAAAAGATTTGTCCCTCCAGAACATGCCTGTAAGTCTGTAACTCGCAACACCCATTTTCAGAGAAATTATATAGCATCCATAATGGCAGAACCTAAAGACTAGGATGGGAAATAAACTTATTTAAGGGTAATTCCATCTTGAAATTATTGTAAATTAGGAATTCTTTTTTTTTTAATTATTATATGATTTAAAATTTCTAATCCCAGGATTTAAAATGGCATTACCAAAGGGGACGTGGGACCCACATGGCATTTTCCAGTTCCCAGTAATCCCCAATGCACGCCACCCATTAGAATTTGGCCCAATTTCCAGTCCAATGCCCAATCCCTACCTACTTGTTAATCCCACCTGTTAAACGTAACAGTGATGTATTAACAAGGTAAAACGATATGACAGTTTATAAATCGTACATTAGGGCTAACATCATAACTAAAATAATTGATGCCTGACCAGTGAACGAGACGCAATCAGATTTTAAGATCCCGAGTCATAAGTAATTATTAGGGGCAGAAAAACAATTGAAAAACAAGTCCGGAAGTTGTCATTCTCACTGTTGTTATTACGTCCTGCTTATATTGTTATTGAGACTTTTTAGTGATTATTTTTTTCTGTGGGATTTGAATGTAATTCTCCCTAATTATTAGCCGCGTGATAAAGAAGCGAAGACAATCCATTGAGGGTTGCTTGCTACTGGAGTTAATTGAGGACGAGAGGGATCATCAAACACACATAAAACTTTACTCGTAGAAAGACATTTCAATGACAGGAATACGTTGGTGAGAAAACGAGCACTCGCACTTGTTTAATTACATCCGGAATTGAGACGTGCGTTTGTTCGTGATAAAACCCAGGCATGTGGGATTTCCTTAACAAGTCCACCATATGTTAGGGTGAGGGGGCAGGAAAGAGTCAGCGGAACACACACACACACACAATTAAATTGAAAGGAAGATGCTTAGTACTGTTAATACTGGATGAGGGATTGATTTACAGAGGGAGACAAAATTGAAGAAGAAGGTAACTAAGATAAGAAGCGTAGAAGAGAAAGTGAAGAGGGAGGATCACTGCTGAATAACCAGCCGGCGTTGCAGAAGGAGCAGTAGAGACGGCGTCTGTTTTTGAAGTAGACGGGCAAGAAGCAGAACCTCCACTGGCTCTCCACGTCCACCGCCTGAACCATGCCTCCGCAGTAAGGGCATGACCCCGGCGCCATCTGCCTCGATATCTCCCTCTCGTCCTCGTCGCACACAAACACCAACACATCTTCGGTTCCTTGATCCTCGATCCGAATTCAGAGTTTCTTCGCTTCTAATTTTTATATAAACACCAACACCCAACAAGGCGAGAGGTCGTTTGGGGATTCCGGAACAATATCGCGTTTTGTGGAAGCAGAATCAGAGATGCTGCGTTGATATATTCCCAGAAAGCAGCGCGTGCGCCTGTTTCTAGACCTTTCCTTGGCTTCGCCGCGTGACGTAACCGCTCCTCCTTCTTTTATTCCTCCCTCTGTTTTTTCCGCACATCTTCCATTCTCTGTCGTGTTCTGTTTCCACCCATCTACGTTCTCTCCGTTTTCTCAATTCCCAACCGTCCAGGGTTGACGTTTTGATCGTTCCAGAATGGGGCATTGAGAATCACCTGATCAGGCTGTGCGATCCCGGCTTCTCTCCTGCGCACACCAGGGAATTCGCATCCCATGTCATCTCTATCTTTTATGTTCCCCTAATTATGCTTTTATATATATTCTCCTTCCTATGACGATGATGTGAACGCATTACTAGCTATTGGATTCATCGGTGAGTGACAGGCGGCTTCGTTGCCATTAAAAAAATAAAAATAAAAAATCATTGATAAAAAATAAAGAAATCCATAACCATATAATTCCTTATTCTTTATCAAATATTCCCACCCTATGCATAAAAGTAGTGTCATAACATCAAATATATTAACTTTGGCTTTACGTATATAAAAATTAATTGAGTAATTTATATAGATTTAAAAAATAAATTAACTTACTTATTTATAATAAATAAGTGTTATTTTTTAAAAATATTCTTATTAATTAAATTTATTAGTCAGAACTATTATTATTAGAAGGAGCATTCTTATTAATAAGTTTATTAGTTAGAATTATTATTATTAGAAGGATTATTTAAAAAAAAAGATAAATATGATACATAAAATGAATTCAGATTTTATATTTAAAATTAAAATAAAAATTAACCCAGATTTTATATTAAACACAGGAGTTATATATATATTCCGTGGATCCAATGAGAACAGGGTATCAATTGATCGTGATACTGCGGAAGATAACAGCGTTAAGCAATGGGAAAGCCCAACCACCAAAAAGAAAAAACAAAGAAAACCAAGTTCCCCCTCGCGTCTAACACAAGAACCGAATTACACAAGCTATATTTTCCAACTGAATATAAATAATAATACAACAAATCATCTCCACTACCTTCCCACTGAATCAGTACTCTGAAACTATGGCCTGGCGGCATAAGCTGGCAGATAATTCAGGCATAGAGCACCTGAGAACTACAAGGAGTTAACGC